ACCCTAATCTACTCATCTAAAGCCGCTTAAACGACTACTCACTAATCATAACGAGCTCACTAAGTCCTTTGCAAGACGTGTAGCTGGTCATGATGAGGAGTTTAATGATAGATGATAAAAGAAATAAAGAAAGAACAAGATTTCTCATGCAAAAACGAGATATCGGATTAGATTCATCAAGTTTCACCAAAGAGGCAAGTTCTTAAAGCTAAAAACAGATAAGAGATAAGATGATTAGGTTTTTAGTCTCGAAATGTATATATAGCAAAGGTAAAGTGTCGCGGGTCAGCCCGGAACAAACCGGGTACTGAACCGCGTTCTTGGGCTGATGGGTGAGTGCCACGGTGTGTCGGAGAGTGAAGCCGAGGTCTTCATGTCGAGGAGTGCACGTGAGTCCAGATCCAAATGAAGATCTCGTGAAGAATACGTCAAGAATATGCATGAACCCTAGTCTTTGATCCATCTTCACGTGTGTGTTCTTGAGCAGCTTTGTTCTTGATTCTGGGTTTGTGACAATGGACCTCGGCATAAAATGCCGAGGCGCTTAGACGTCGAGGGGTTCGGGAGAACAGGGTCCGGCATGCACGCCGAGGTTGCTACACCGAGGTGCACGTTCAACACTTAGTCGTTTCCAGCTTCATTTCTTACGTGTGCATGCCTTGATTCCAACGTGCCGAGGCGTCAGCACGAGGCCTAGTTCAGAATACTCCCAAAATATTAGCCTTGACTTGGCCGATGTCGAGGTAATGATGCCGAGCCCTGAGAAAACACTTAGCACGTATCGCGACATATTTGGGCTCGTATCGACCATGTCGCCTTCCGGAAGCAGTAACTTTCGACCCACGACTCCAGATGCTCTGAGACCAGTTCCATAGTCAAGGTGACTCAATAAGCTCGAATTTTGGTGAAGAAACCGTCGGAGCTTGGGAAGTGGAAGTCTTCCTGGATTTCACATCTTTGAACCGCATTGAAATCACCGGAAAATAAGCTGTTTGGACCGATGTGAACTCCGGAGACTTTATCTTTCAAACCACTCGTCCGAATTGAGCGATCCCTACTGTTCTGAAAAGGTCTTTCACAGATCTCAAACTTTGATGAAGACCGGGCAAGCTGATTCGGTCCGGAAAGGCTCCGTCCGCCGTGACCTTTGTACTTCGCCGTTTGGTTCTCGGATGCGCGTAATGTTGGTGCATCTTCCGGAAGCTGTATCTTTCTCCCCACTGGTCCGAATTGGATGATTCCAACTGTTCTGGGATCTTTGTTTGATTATCTCCAACTTTGCTGAAGACCCCGCCAACTGGTTCGGACCGGAAGGTTCCCCGGATTGCAGATCTTTGAATTGCGTGGACAAGGACAGATTTTGGTCGAGAAAAGCTTCCCGCGGTAAGAAAATGACCGAGGGCTGTGTTCCGCGGTAAGCTTTTTGGTCGTAAAAATTCCTTCGCCTCGGCCAAAAACTCAACCCGTGGTATTTGCACCCGATCTTCGACCCAGGCTGACTTTGGTCGATCGGTACGGACTTTGGTCGGTGCTGAACAATCGGTAAGCTTTTTGGTCGAGGTTGGACGATCGGTAAGGATTTTGGCCGGTAATGAGCGATCGGTAAGGATTTTGACCGAGGTTTCTGTCCGTCCGGTACGCGATTTGGCCGAGAAATTCCTCCAAGCGGTTTTCACCATTTTTGACCCTTTTCTTCACCGTCTTCTTCTCTGCTCCTCTTCTTAAGCTCCAAATGACTCCCAAAGCACCTGATAAAGACTTCAAAACATGCAAAACTCTTTGGGACCTAATGCAAGCCCTAAATCCTATTTTCATGCCTAAAGACTCAATTTACATGGGAAAACACATGATGAGGACTCTAAAATGCACTCTAAATGATGTAAAATATAGACATATCAACTCCCCCACACTTGTCCTTTGCTTGTCCTCAAGCGAAGAGAACAAATGAGAGAAAGAGGTTGTAATGCAGATGGAGCTCATATTTCCTTTTTAGAGAGAAGTGATCACAAAGAGAACTCGGATTCATGCTCAAATATGCAATGCAAAGCCATACTCAGATATTTCACAACTAAAGCACAGAATCTCCACAAGTCATTATCACATCCAACTCTTTCACATTCATTAAGCTTGTAACCGGTGAATCAAATGATGCAATGTTCAAATAGGCTGGCTTGGCTAGGGTAAAGTCATGAGATAAAAATGATCTCATCAATATTCAAGCGGGTGCAATGCAACAATGGGATCACTCAATGAACGACCAAACTTTGGCAGAATGCTAAAGGTAAAAAGCAACCGATGCATACAAGGGCACGACTCATCACACCCCACACTCCACTCAAAGCTTTCCTCACTTGCTCACCCTCTCAAGATCCTCACTCTCTCAATTGCTTTCTTTTCACTAGGGGACTCACTTTTGTTTTGATTTTCAAGTCTTGGTGTTTACTTATTCACACAGCTCTTTTTTTTCTTTTTCAGCGATAAGCCTCTTTTTTTTTTTTTTAGAACACTTGAGCCTTTTTGGCTTCTTTTCATTTTAGAGACTATACTTTCCTTTTTAGAACAACAGAGCTCATCTTTTCCAATTCAAGACTCGATTCTTTTTCTTTCATTCCCCTAGCTATTTCCACACTCTCTTTTCCACTCAGCTCACCTTTTTTTTTCACTCACCAATAGATCTTTTCCCCCTCACTTATTTCTCGCCAATACTCTCGGTTCCTTGATGTTGGAACATAGACTCAATGAGACATGCCCTTGTCGCTCTAAACCTAACACTTTCTGCTAAGTTCAGTCCAAGGTGGCCTTACTATTCACACACAAACATTGGCTCGAAAAGAAGGTTGGGTTCAAGGTGAGGGAACTGATCCATGATGCGGATTCAGCTACTTGAGCTAAGGAAAGAGGGTGGTAAAAACAATGATTCTAGCTCAAGTATGTATATCGGTATCCACAAGCCAATTCAAGCAATGCATCAAAAGATATTTACAATTCAAGTTCAGGGTTATCACTTAGCTAGAGTTGAGTGTAATTCAGACTTGCTTCTCAGATTCAAATCGTTTCAGGCTTTACAAGCATAGAATGAGTTTCACAAGCATATTTAGTTCAAGTTCTCAAGTGATTTACTCTCTAGGAAAAAATCTATCATTGCTCCTTGCACTGATGCAATCCTACATGATGCAACCTAGACTCGATCTTAGAATGCGAGATGCAACTAGAATGATGCGGTTTTACATATGTACAAAGCTAAATGAGACTCAAGAATGCAAAAGTTAAATAAGAACAAAGAAAACGAGATCAGAAAACACAAAGCTCCTCCCCCACACTTAAATAACACAGTCCCGTGTGTTATAGAAGCGTGTGAGAGAAGTAAAAAGACAAACTAAACGAATGCAGAATGATATACACAAGATGCATATGTACAGGGTTTGAAGTCGATACCTTAGTCGGAGAGTTCTGATCCCAAGTAGTACGAGGGATTTGATGTTGAGCAGGAGGGTGTGGACTAACGTGGTGGGCTGCTCTCCGAGGGTTCAGGTAAGAATGCCGAGGCAGGGTCGATCCAATCTTCTTTGCCTGGTGGAAACTCCGGGTTCCTTGCGTTTGAGCTTTCCCCAACCTCCTCTTGTGTAACCGGTGCGGTTGAGGTCGCCGAGTGCTTGTCCGGAGAAGATGGCCGTGTGAGCTGCTTTACCTTCTTCTTCAGGTGCCTTACACAGTCCACCAGAGCATGAATGGTCTTGTCCTGCCACTTACACCACTTTTGGAGAGTGTTCACTCGCAAATACAGCTTCTTGGTGTGGTATTAGGGCTCACCCCACACGTATGGATCAAAATGATATCGGCCTGCTCCCATCCTTCTCTCAGCGTGCCGTTCTTCTTCATTCTCACATCCGGCCGGGCCGTTCTCGTTCTAAGGCTTGTTGGGAACGGCTTTGGTGCACTTGCGCATATGTGGGTCGAGAGATGGGTTGTACAGCTGATCTTTGAGGACGTAGAAGGAGACGTTGCACTGCTTATCAAGCATGGTGAGGCCTCGGTTAGGCAAAAGAACCTGTGTGCCGTCTCTGTGCATCAGTGTGAAGTTGTAAACCCATCTATCTCCTGACTTGCCTCCAAAGAAACCACTTTTACCTAGGTATTGCTCATCAATGAAACTCGGCCTCGATGGTGAATCAGGGAAAATGAACCCTTGAGCTCTCAAGATCTTAGTGACAATCCAACCGTTCTGAAGCCTCCTTGCTCCCTTCTTCTTTCGGTCACACCACACATTGTGTCTATAGGTGAGCATTTAGATCGCAAAGAACGCTCCTAAAGATGGTACATGCATTGGCCCTTGGAACTCCTTCTTGTTCTTCATTTGAGTGATGAGCGGCTTAAGTCCAAGTCCCAACAGTTCAAGCTCGGCCGTGTGAATGACACCAGGGTTGTATGTAGAGAAGAACGTAGAGGCCAGGACCCGGTTGGTGTATCTGATCGCAGGGTTCCTGATGCAGCTCGTCTTGCTCTTGCCTCCCAAGTAAGGCCCAAAAGATATCGTTTCCCACAAGGCGGCCAACTCATCACGAGGGTACACAAACTTGTCAAGCGAGCTTCCATTCCTTTCAAACCCAAATATCTCATCAAGCTCTTTGAAACTGACCTTGTAGTGCACGCCTTCCATGTCAAACTCAATGTGACCGAATCCTTTGCCATGTAAACGCTTGGGATCTCTCTTGGGGTAGATGACAACCTCCAAAGTGGCAAGAAACTGTTGTGTGATCCCCTCATAAGCAACATCGCTCATCATGAAGAACTCGGCCAAGCCCATGTTTTGAAAGATGAGGGTAACATCATCGAGTATCTCAAGCTTCCTCAACAGCTCCATATCAGGGAACCGACCTTGAGCCACTCTTATAGAGTTAAAGTGGTCCAAGTACTCCTCAGTGGTCGGGAAATGTTCTTCCTCGGGCTCGGGCTTTGGTTCCTTCTTGGCTCTCTTGGCACAATCGGGTTCATGAGGAACTATGGCTCTCAGCTCATCTCCATCGTTCTCAGTGGCTGCCTGCTTCCCATTTCTTCTTGATTCAAAGGCTGGAACCGGAGGGAGCTCGGCGTTCCTTGCTCGCTTAGCGGCTGGCTCACCATCGGATCTCGCGGAGGGTTTCTTGCTTGTTCCACCATTGCGTGCCACGGCCACGGCTTTCCCTTTCGTACTCCTCCTCTGGACCTCATTTTTGTTTGTCTCATGAGTGGGAACAGCTCTGTCGCCGGTCATCTGCAAGGCAGATCCTCAAAGAAACCGTTAGAATCAAGTACAACGACAAGCACAAGTTTCTGAAGATAGCAAGTACAGAGCTTTTTCTCTAACAAGATCATAGTTATAGCTTTGTCATTCATCAAAGAGAGAAGTAAGAACAAGCCAGAACAACCGATTAGAGACAAGTTATCAAGACATTTCAGCTCAAGCACACAAATCATCATTAAGACCGATTCCAAGCGCATTTTCTCAAGAATTTTAAAAACTCAAGAACAAGTGATTTTCAGAGCAAAGACCGGTTTTTCTTGTGTTGTCTATCCTGATGGAATTTTTAAAATTGTTCCCAAAGGCCGATGTGTTCTAAAAGAATCGATTTCACATTTTACAAACAATTAAGCTCGCAAAGAATGAAGGAAAAAGATGAGTTCTTTAGGATGCAGATACCTTTGGGAATACAGGATTCAAGCTCAACGAGATGCTTATGCTGAATAGACAACACCCTAACGAGTCTAGAGCGCTTGGAATCACAAGAAATGGATGAGAAATGAGAGAGTTGTGTTCGTGAAATGCAGAGAAAAGAGAGGAGAAAGCAAACTCTGCGGTTTATGGCTCGGGATGGAGGTCGGTATGGGCGGTGTCGCGCTTTCCAGCTGGCGTTTGGACTGTAGTGGGACTGGTCCCCCCTTCTCCTTCAGCTGCGACCGTTGACCCGCGCCAAAACCAGCTTTGACCAGTCGTTTAAATTCAAATTACCGCGCAAAGCTTCCAAATGGCGCGACAAGAGGAATGACGTGGGCCGTACGGACTAGAACGATTTTTCTCGTGTTTTCTTGAGTGGCCTTGACTTGTTCCACCCCGAGGGCACCAAGCCGAGTGGTTCTAGCTCAAGTCCACAAAAATTTCCCCCGCGGCCTTCAAGTCTTTTCCTTGGGTCGCGCAAACCCTCTTCTTTGACTCAAGTGTCTCAAGTGTTCTTGTTTTTGATCGTTCATGAAACCGGGCACCTCGGCATGCTCCACCATGAGGGTATCATGCCGAGGTCACTTGTTTTAACGATGAACACTTGGTGATGGGGGTTTAAATGGTCCGGCCTTGGTGTAAACTGGTCGCGGCCTCGATCGAGGTTTTAGACCGTTTGAAGTGAACTTTGCCCCTCGGTATAATCATACCGAGGTGTTTACACCGTGGGCCTCCCCCACATTTAGTCATTTCACCACATAACTTTTTAGGCACGGTCATGATGAAATTAAGTCGAGGAGTTTAGCTGAGGTTCTCAAGCTATCACTCGGTAAAAGGTGACCGCGGTATGTATATACTGAGGGTCGATACCGAGGCTAGGTACGCTCTAGGACTTAATCCATCAGGCCATGTCTTTTTCAAGCTTTTTCTTACTCTCATCATCAAGATTCACCACTTAACTCCTGAAACACTTAACAAACCCTTCAAAAAGTTTCAAGTAAAAAGAAAAAGAAGATGAAAAAGGAAATATGTACAAGGATAAGCTTGGGGTGTCTCCCAAGAGCACTTTGTTTAACGTCACTAAGTTTGACTTTCCATACCTTTTCAGGCTGATTCTGGTTCAAGAAGAGGAACTGAGGTAGCTCCCTCTCTTGTTTCTGATGCCAAGCAGTGCTTTACCCTCTGACCGTTTACCACAAAACCTTGTCCATCTTTTCCTTTTAGAACGACCGCTCCATACGGCCTCACCTCAAGAATTCTGAACGGACCGGACCTTCTAGACCTCAGCTTCCCAGGGAATAGCTTAAGCCTCGAGTTAAACAACAGAACTTGGTCCCCTTCTTTGAACTCTCTCTTGTGTATCTTCTTGTCATGAAGCGCCTTGGTTCTTTCTTTGTAGATCTTAGAGCTCTCAAAAGCATCTAACCGGATTTCCTCAAGCTCATGAAGCTGTAAAACCCTCTTCTCTTGTGCGGTCTTGATGTCAAAGTTCAGAAGTTTCACTGCCCACAAGGCTTTGTATTCCAACTCAACCGGTAGATGACAGCTTTTCCCATAGAGCAAGTTAAACGGTGAGGTTCCAATGGGGGTCTTGTACGCGGTTCTGTAAGCCCACAAAGCATCATCAAGTTTCTTGCTCCAATCCTTCCTAGATGAGCTCACGGTTCTCTCCAAAATGGCCTTTATCTGTCGGTTAGAAACCTCGACTTGGCCACTAGTCTGCGGATGATAAGGTGTGGCCACCTTGTGCTTTACCCCATGCTTCTTCAAAAGACTCTCAAGAGTCTTATTGATAAAGTGGCTTCCCCCATCACTGATTACTACTCTTGGAACTCCAAACCGTGGGAAAATGATACTTTTGAAAAGCTTTACCACCACTTTTGAATCGTTGGTTGGGGAAGCAACGGCCTCGACCCATTTACTCACATAGTCCACCGCGACTAGGATATACTGATTTCCGTATGAGCTCACAAAGGGACCCATGAAGTCAATGCCCCAACAGTCGAAGACCTCGACCTCAAAGATTGGGTTTTGGGGGATCTCATTCCTCTTGGATATGTTACCGTGCCTTTGACAAGCCTCGCACCTTGATACCACATCTTGAGCGTCCTTGAACATAGTCGGCCACCAGAAGCCGCTTTGCAAAACCCTGGCAACCGTCTTGAATGCGCCTAAATGACCACCATAAGCTGAACCTTGGCATTCTTGTAGCACCGGATGGGTCTCGTCTTCGGCCAAGCATCGTCTATAGAGATGGTCCTTGTTAAGCACGTAAAGATACGGCTCATCCCAATGATATCTCATCACATCTCTAAGGAACTTTTTCCTCTGATAGGCATCAAGATCCGGTGGCTCTAAACCGCAAGACAGGTAGTTCACAAGATCCGCGAACCATGGGAGGCTTCTTTCTTTGATCGTGTTGGCCTCTTCCACCTCTAAGTAAGACCGGACCAGCATGAGATGTTCCTCTGGTAAAGCATCATCTATAGGGACCTTTTCTTCAATCCTCAGCCTTGAGAGATGATCTGCGGCCCCATTTTCTATGCCTTTCTTGTCAAGTATCTCCATGTCGAACTCTTGGAGCAATAGGACCCATCTCAAAAGCCTCGGCTTAGCATCCTTTTTAGACATCAAGTACCTCAAGGCCGCGTGATCAGTGTAAACCGTGACCTTTGATCCAACTAAGTAACTCCTGAATTTGTCAAATGCAAACACAATGGCAAGCATTTCTTTCTCGGTGGTGGCATACTTTTCTTGAGCTGAGTCTAAGGTGCGGCTTGCATAGTAGATCACATGGAGCTTCTTATCTTTCTTCTGCCCCAAGACAGCTCCCACAGCGTAGTCAGATGCATCAGTCATCACTTCGAATGGTAAAGACCAATCAGGAGCTTGTACAATAGGTGCACTGATCAAAGCCTCCTTGATCCTCTTAAACGCTTCCTCACACTCTTCATCAAAGATAAACTCCACCTCTTTGCACAATAGCCTAGTTAAAGGCCTAGCTATCTTGGAGAAATCCTTGATGAACCTCCTATAGAACCCTGCGTGCCCAAGAAAGCTTCTTATCCCTTTTACAGAATTCGGAGCTTGTAGGTTCACCATCACCTCGATCTTGGCCTTGTCTACCTCAATACCCTTCTCTGATACCGTGTGCCCCAAGACAATTCCTTCTTGTACCATGAAATGACACTTCTCCCAGTTCAAGACAAGCCTATGCTCCTCACATCTCTTTAGAACCTGAGAAATATTAGCAAGACATTCGGAGAAAGAGGAGCCGTATACGGAGAAATCATCCATAAACACCTCAAATTTCTCTTCAATTAGATCAGAGAAAATGTGCATCATGCATCTTTGAAAAGTGGCCGGTGCATTACCCAAACCGAAAGGCATTCTCCTATAAGCATAAGTGCCGTAAGGGCAAGTGAATGTCGTTTTCTCTTGGTCTCTTGGATCTATTGGTATTTGGAAGAATCCAGAGTATCCGTCGAGAAAACAAAAATAAGGATGATTGGCTAACCGTTCAAGCATTTGATCAATGAATGGTAAAGGGAAATGATCTTTTCTTGATGCAGAATTCAATTTCCTATAGTCAATGCACATGCGATGGCCGGTTATAGTTCTTTGGGCTATGAGTTCATCCTTATCATTTTTTACCACCGTGATACCACCTTTCTTGGGCACAACGTGCACAGGAGATACCCACCGAGAGTCAGAGATTGGATATATGATCCCTGCCTCAAGGAGCTTTAGTATCTCCTTCTTAACCACCTCTTTGAGGTTCGGGTTAAGGCGACGTTGGTGCTCAATAGAGGACATGGCTTGGTCCTCCAGGTGGATCCTGTGAGTGCATATATCAGGAGAGATTCCTCTTATGTCGGCCAAGGAATACCCTATTGCTCTCCTGAATTTCTTGATTTCATTAAGCAATGCACGTTCTTCATGTTCAAGCAAGCTATCGTTTATGATCACAGGGAAAGTAGAGTTCAAGCCTAAAAACGCATACCTGAGCCCTGTTGGTAGAGGTTTTAGTGCAACAGGGGGCGCGTCCGCCTCGTTCCAATCGGCATCGAAGCTGCATTGGCCCGGAACAGCTTCCTCGGCCTTTTCCTTGTTCTTGCGCGGTTCACCATCGGCCTCGGTATGAGTTGCCACGGCCATGATATCCCGAGGTGTCTCCTCTGTTCCCATGGACCCCTCGCTGTCTAAGATGTCGAGGCCACTCTTCCTGAGCTCCAAAAACCTCGCCTCAGCTCCAAGTCCCCTCGGTTGGTCCAAAAGTTGCTTGTACACCTCGCTTTCCTCGTTCAAGTACCCGTGCTCGCTTTGTTCATGTGTCAAGACCACTTGTAATGGGTCTTCTGCGTTTAACTCTTCTAGGAGCTCATCAGCTAGCTCCTCCATCACTTCCACATAGAAAACCTGACCTCCAATAGTCGGTTTCTTCATCATCTCTTTCACGTTGAACTTCATAGTCTCGGAACCGATGTGTAGTTC